CCTCAAATAACAACCAGCAGTGGGAACAGCCTTCTCTGGAAGATGCCTCACACATTCCTAAGGAACTCTGGGAGGGAGATGCACCACTTTACAGACGGGGAAACTGAGGCTCTGAGCCATGGATGGCTTGTTCAAGGATACAGGAACCAGTGGCAGGGCTGGCCTGGGCACAGGTATTGCCGGTGGGATTGGATGAGCTGCTGAGATCTTTTATTGGGAGACCCAGGCAGGACATCCAGGGAGCATTTATCTCTAGTGGTGACTGAATGAGGTCACCCAGTGAGCAAGTGAGTGAATGAGTAAATGACAAATGCATGCATGAATGAGTGAATGCATTACTGAATGAATGAGTGAATAAGTAAGAGAGTGAATGAATGAGCCAGCGCATGAGTGAATGAATGCGTGAATGAGTGAATGAATGCATGACTGAATGAGTGAATGAATGAGCAGGTGAATGAGTGAGTGAATGAATGCATGACTGAATGAGTGACTGACTGAATGAGTGAATGAATGCATGACTGAATGAATGAGTAAGAAAGTGAATGAATGAACCAGCGCATGAGTGACTGAATGCCTGAATGAGTGAATGAATGCCTGAATGAGTGAATGAATGCGTGAATAAGTGCATGAGTGAGTGAATGAATGAATGCATGACTGAATGAATGAGTGACTGAATGAATGAGTGACTGAGTGAAAGAATGCCTGACTGAATGAATGAGTGAATGAGTAAGAAAGTGAATGAATGAACCAGTGAATGGGTGAATGTGTGAATGAATGTGTGAATGTGTGAATGAATGTGTGAATGAGTGAATGAATGCGTGAATGAGTGAATAAGTAAGAGAGTGAATGAATGAGCGAGTGCATGGGTGAGTGAATGAACGACTAATGAATGCATGACTGAATGAATGTGAGATTGAATGAATGAGTGAATGAATGAATGAGTGAATGAAAAGGCTGTTAAGTCACCCTGCCCTTGGGGAGGCATGAGAACCACAAGTCTGAGATTAACAGGACACAGTAGAAAAGTCTAAATTCTACCTTCCCAGAAACAAGGACTCCTGCTTTCTGGGCTGCAAGAATCTCCTGGGTTGTCCGGACGTCCCCCAAGGAGCAGTGGGCAGGGCCTCCTCGGCCTGGCCCTCCACCTCAGCCCCAGCTATCCCCCAGAAGTCAAAGCCCATCTGCCCTTGTCCTGTCCCCCACCTATATTCTTTTTTTTTTTTTTTAAATTTTTTTTTATTTTAACATTTGTGTGTGTGTGTGTGTGTGTGTGTGTGGCCAGCTCAGCCCACCAGGGGGCGCGGTTGGCTGGCATGTGGTGCTGGGGGATTGAACCGCAGTCCCTGTGCTTTGCCAAGCTTGTTCCAAGTAGGTGCTTTAGACCACTGAGCCATCTCTCCAGCACCCCCACCTATATTCTTGTCCAGGGCTGAGCTCCAACATGGGCCTGGAGAGGGCTGGGATAGAGAAGGAGTCTCTTCTGTCTACCCCCTCAGCTCCTTTCCACCATGCTGTGGCCCACTTTAGGAAGCTGGGGGTGAGGAGAGTACACCCTCCAGTGGGCTCCCAGGAGCTTGAGAGATAGGGTGATGGAGCCCCCTGCTGGCCACATGCCCCCAGCCCCATGGGGGGATTGGAGGGATTCTTATTCAACAAACCCATATGGAGCCTCTACCATGTGTTGGTCCTGGGGCTCAGGAGAGCACACAATCTCTCACCTAACTATGCTTGGTGTCATGTGATCCCCACTAGATTCCCTGGAAGACAGGGCTCTCCGTGGGCAGGAGCTGTGTCTCACCCACCAAGCCAGGATTTCCCCAGGGCCCAGTTGTGCCGCCCCATCACACTGGTCTATAGAACCTCCTGTCCCTGAGAAACCGCCCCCTCGTTCCTGCAGCCTCCCTGGACCAGGTACCAGACAAAACACAGGATGCCCGGTTCAGATTGAATGTCAGAAAAACAAGGAATAACTTTTTACTATAAGTATGCCTCAAATATTGCATGAGGTATACTTAAACTAAAAATTATTCCTTGTTTGTCTGACATTCAAATTTAACTGGGTACCAGGTGTTTCTATTTGCTAAGTCTGGCAACCCTGTGCCTGGAGCTCATGCCTCCTTCTGGCACCTGGCCTGACCAGAAGGCCCGGGTCGTGCCTGGACCTGGCCCCTTCCCACCCAGAGACAGCTTCTGTTGGCCCCAGAACTGCTGCCCTCCCCCGGGCCCCACCTGCAGCCTTTGCTCCCAGATGGACCCCGCACACCTGGCACTCATACCTGGCTTCCTGGAGGATGGGCCTGCTCAGAGGGGCAGAGCCCCTGAGCCTCAGGGTCAGGGCATCAGAGTGGAGCAGAGGCTCAGAGGCAAAGGACCCAAGCCGAGAAGATGAGGACAGGGAGCCTAGAGCCAAGACAGAGAACTTGAGGCCCCTTGCCCAGAGCCTCTGAGGAAAAGCAGGGCAGCAAGGGAGGGTTCTGAAAGGCCCCCAGAGCTGGCCGCTGTGGACTTGGGCAAAAGGAAGCCTGGGCCCCTGAGTGCCTTCATGGGGTCCCACTCTGGGAGTCCTGGGGGCAGCTTGGGGTCTCCAGCACTGTAGACAAAAGTGGGAGTCGATGCAGAGCCCCTCCCAGGAACACACATAGAGACATTCATGGCTTCCCAGAAGGGCCCATGGGGCAGCCAGAGTGGCTTTTAAAATTAGCCTTGCTAACCAGATCTGGTTACTTCAGAAGGCTCTGTCCCAGCCTGTCCCCTTGGTAGGGCAGGAGCAGGAAGCAGGGAGGGACCTCCACATTCCAGGGTCCCTGGCTGAGCCACCCCTGTGGCCTAAGAAGGAGAGAAAGTCCAGGTCCCAGCCCCCTGGTCCTGGGCCAGCCTGGGCCTGCAGCCTACTTTTTGGCAAAGCTGTCCTGGTGTTGAACAAGGACGTCCAGGGATGTCCCTTTTAGAGCTGGGGCTGAGGGGATGAGGGAGACCCTTGCTGAGGCAGGGGTTCTGTGCCGGGTGCCATGCAAATCACCTCGGAGACATGACAACCTGTTGGTGGCCCCAGGGGAGGCCCTGTCCTGTTTTGCAGGTGCTGGGGAGATGGGGAGGTCCCCACAGGAGGTGAGGACATGGAGATGCTGGGTGTGACCTTCCCCCCAACCGCCCTGGGAAGAGACCTCTTCCCTTCTGTCCTCCCATCCAGAGGAGGCTCTGGCTGCTCTTCCCACTACCAGGGTTATTTCTAACAGAGCCCAGCACTTCCCGGAGCCCGGTGCCCCCCGCCCAGGCCCTAATTCTAGTCTTGGGTCAATGTCCTGGCTTGCCCTTCCCACCTCAGAACCCAGGGCGGTGTAGAGTTGGCATGGGTGCAAGAAAAACAGCACCAGTCACTTTGATCCCAGAGACCAGACCTGTCCTCAGGCTCCCTGGCCCCACTTTGGGGTCTGGGGCGAGGACCTGGGCTGGACTTGGGGCTGTGCTCTGTGCAGAGGGGCAGCACAGCTCACCAGGCTTCTCCCTGCAGCAGGGCCCTCTGCTGAGTATTAGCTCTGGGATGGAGCAGGGAGGACGCACAAGGAGACTCACTGTTGCCGAGGCTCAGGCTGCCTGTGGGCTGCAGCTGCAGGCTGCCTCTGTGCAGGGCCAGTTTTGGTACTGATCCCTCCTTCCCTGCACTGTACTGTCCCTTCTCCAAGCACTGTACTGATCCCTCCTTCCCTGAAGATTTGCTGAGGTAAGCCTTGCCCAGGGCCAGTCCCCAGCACCCTTGCTTCAACATCCACCATAGCCACAGGCAGACCCTGGTGTTTAGGGATGGACAGGGCAATGGGTTGGGGGAGCCCAGGGTGCTGTAGAGCTGGGTCCTGAGAGGTGCTAAGGGAAGACTTGGTGGGGAGCAGGCAGGCCAGGAGGGACCCTGAGCCCAGGCAGCCTGGAGCCAGACCCAGCCGGGTGGGGCCGGGCTTGGGGGTGAGTCACAGCCCCTGGGTGGCCTGAGGCATCTGAGAGACACGGAAGAGACTATCATGAACCATGGCGCTCCCCAGAGCCACCAGCCTGGGCAGGGGTGGGAGTGTGGGGGTATGGCTGACCCCTTGGGCTCAGCTCAGGGCTCGCCCCAAGGCCACTGTCCCCCCAAAAGCCTGCTTTCCCTGTGGTCCCACCCAACACCCAGGCTAAGCCTGGGGTCCTCCGTGACTTCCACCCACAGCCATCCCCATCAGACCTGGCTCTGCCTCCCAATGCCCATGCACCCTGCCTCCCCATCCCCAGCAGCAGCTGCTTCACCCTGCTGCCCAGCAGCCCCCATACCAGCTCCAGCAGTAACCACAGCTTCTCTCCACGGCACTCCACTGCCTGTCCTCAGAGAAAGCCCAGGCCCTCTGGCCCCCTATTCCTGCCATTCCATGTCAGGATACATTGCCCTCCTCACCACACTGCCCCCAAACCCTTCCCTGCACACTGACAGCTGCTTTTCACCCGGTAATCTGGTGAGCCACCTACCCTGGGCTTTGAGGACTGGAATTTTGCCCCACTCTTCTGCGCTGCTATTGCCATCTGATTAGCTATCTCATGGCGCCACCTGGTGGTCACATAGGGAAACTCTTGGTTTACGCTGCCCATGAGAAAGGAAAAATACATGGAGTACCTACTGTGTGCCTGGGGCCAAAAGCTAGGTGTTTGTATGCACCAGTTCATGGGACGTGCATAACAAGTCCCAGGAGAGACCCTATTGTCTGTACTTTACAGAAATGGAAACAGGATCAGAGAAGCTCAATTTCTCAGCATCACCCTACTAAGAGAGTGTGTCAGGACCTTAAAGCAGGCCAGTCTCAGAAGCCACGCTCTCCTCACTGTGGAGAAGGGGATAGAGAGGAAGGAAGGACGGTGCCCAGGAGGAAGCCATGGTCAGTGGTCACAGACCCTGTGGCTTGACCTTGAAGGCATCCCCTGGTGACAGACTGTCTCCACCAGTCGGGGTGGCGTGCACACAAAGCCAGCCCAACTCCAGATACAATAGCGATAAATAGAATTTATTTTGTACAACTGTTACCAACATACACGTGGCCACGGGGCTTCCAAAGTGGGGGTGTGGCCAGAAGGCTGGCCTTTGGCGTGGCACCTAAAGTGTAGACAGACACACACAAGGACATGGACTCACAGCAGCTGTGCCTGGCTGCCCCTCCACAGCATGGGGGCCGGTGGAGACCCCTCAGCATGGAGCGCCCAGGAGCGAGGGATGCAGGGGTTAAGCTGGGCGCTGGCTGAGGAGCCAGGTGGGTCCCTTTCTCTCAGAAGGAGGTCACCGGTTTGTCATGTGTAGGCAGTGGAAGGGAATCGGCAGATCTGTGGTGCAGCTTAGAGGTCCTGGGCGGGGGGGCAGTGGGCACGGCCAGCTCGCAGGCCCTCAGCCCACCTGGGGCATCAGGGACCTCAAGAAGCAGGGCAGTGTGATAGGAAGGCCCACTGACACCAACCCCTCTGGGTCAGGTGCGCAGAATCACAGTCTCTAGTGACCTCTGAAATAATCTTGTCCACACGTGGCAGAGACAACCAGAGAAGGTGAGCCACTTGGGCAGAGCCACACAGCGGAACCCGAAGCTGGCAGCCCAGTGCTCACTCCACACACTCACACCCCACCACCTCCACAGGCAGCGGCACGCACTGAGCTCTCCGCCTCCCTCGCCCACTTTGCTCCCCCACCCAGAGGGGCAGCTGGGTGATGGAGGCTCAGGGCAGGGCAAGCCCCGCCTGCAGTCCTGCTTCAGCTGAGCACTGCCTGGGCCAGTGGGACGACGCCAGCAACTTCCCGGCCCCAGGTCTGGGTGGCTCCGCCCTGCGGAGAGCACCCAGATGGGTGGGCGGAGGGGAGGTGGGAAGCAGGGGAACCGGGGCTGGGGTTGGCCTTGGGGGTAGAGGTCCTGGCTGCCCGGATGTGACACAGCCTCTTCACCTTGTGCTTCTGTGGCCTCATCTGCAGGGACACGGGGTGCAGACACCGTGAAGTGCAAGCTGCAACCGGGGTCCTGGGCTCCAGGTGTCTCCATCCCACACTCAGAGGTCACCAAGCTCCCTCCCAACAGCTCCTGGGTAGAGGCGAGGCAAGGCTCACCCGCCACACGGCACAGGGGAGGAGCCTGCAGCCAGGGGGCGGGGCCAGCCAGAGCGACCCGCTGAGGAGAGGGGGAGGACCAGCTCCTCCACCCACAGCCGGCCGCCTGTCCCACAGTCTCCCAGCCCACGCACCAGCACAGGGGCCCAGGCTGACCTGCTCAGCTCCAGTTCCCGGGTGGCCGGCTAACAGCCCTGTAAGGACAGCAGCGCCACAAGGCAGGGGGCAAGGCAGGGGGACACAGGGAGGCACAGTCATGGCTGTGCCCAGGCTGTCCTGGCCAAAGGAACCCCATGACCTCTGGGCCCTTCGCCTCCTCCCAACAGCCAGCCCCCAGTGGGATGTGTCTCCCTCCCACCCCACCTGCTGTTCTTACCAGCTGGGGAGTGTGTGGCTCAGACGCTTCCAGTTGGATCTTGATCTCGGGACACGCAGGGTCCCCCACCTTGCCGGCGTCTGGGTGGGGTGACCGGGACAGGCCTGGGGAGGGGGGCAGGAGGGAGCCACCTCACTGGCCAGGGGGAGGCACCAGGGAGAACGCATGGATGGGCAGTTGGCACAGGTGTTCCCTAGGCCTGCCTGGCCCCTCCTTAGGGACCCCTACCCTAGTGCACCTCCTTGCCACCCCCGCTGAGACTCCCAGAAGCTACTAGCCCTGCAATCTACCCCAGATCATGACCCACCAGTGTCCCCCATGGTAGGGGTAGTCATATCCATGCCCACCACTGGACATAAGACCTAGTCCTGGAATGCAGCTCTACCCTCAATGACTCAGGGACACCCCACCCTCTGCAGGAGGCCGACATGCTACCTGGGGAGCTGCCACCGCTGGTGGTGCTGACGCTGTCCTCCAGCCATGTGCTGTAGAGGAAGGAGTCCCGCTTGTGGGGCGTCCCTGACGATGACACGCTCTCCTGGGGAGGGGGGGAGATTAGCCCCCCTCACTGGCCCCAAAGTCTGCCGTGCACAAGGCAGATCACACAACACATCCATGGATGCCCTCCCAGGCCAGGCCCCTGGCATGGGTCAGGCCCTGCGTGCCCTCAGGGAGCCTGAAGTCTAGGAGGCCAGCTGGGCCGAGATGCCTGTCTAGAAGGCCACCATGCAGGGTGCTGTCCTGGCTCACTCCCTACAGTGCCAGCAATGAGCAGGACAAGGAGTAGGTGCCCCTGAAGGTCTGCTGAATGAAAACTGACCGAGGGTGGTGAGAGCCAAGTCCAGGGGTCTGCGAGGGTGTAAAGCAGGGTCACTAGCTCTCCTGAACCAGACAGTCAAGGACAGCTTTCAGCAAGCAGAGGGAAACCTGGCCAGGCAGAGGGAGCGGGACAGGAAGAGCATTCCAGACAGAGGCTTGGAGGTCTTCGCAGCCCCCAGACTGGGCTCTCTGGACAGTGCGGTGGTGCCATGGAGGGACCAGAACAAGGAGGGTCAGGCTGGGCCACTTCTCTACCTGGGTCCCCTCATCACAGCTGCAGCCAGGCCTGCACTTCCGGCCAGAGCACCTCCAGGGGCCCAAGAGCCGCGCTCCAGGCCGCGGAGGTACACGGGCCCCTTGGGTGTCTCACCAGGCCTGTGTCCTCCCCGTCCACGCCCTCCGTCTCCTCCACCACACTGGCGAAACTGCTGGCACTGGACGAGGAGCGGGAAAAGTCCTTCAGCACCTCTGCTCTCTGGGCTGCTGTCTCCGCTCTGCCACAGACGGCGCCCCATTAGCAGCATCCACCCAAGGCGGCCCTGGTCGGGCCCGGCTCCCTCACTCCCTGCCAGGAGGCCCAGCCTGCCGACAGCAGGCACCCTCACAGCCTCAGCACAGCTCCTCAGCCTCTGAGAGTCCTGGACTCCCATGGCCTTCCTCGGGCCCACCCCAGCTCCACACCCACTCACGGCTTCCCTGGCTTAGGGTTCAGTGCCCTAAGCACTCACCTGAGTTAGCTCATGGCTGTCACTTTATGGCCTTTCTTACAGAGGAGGAGACGTCGAGGCATGAGAGGGTGGGCACACGCACGCCCAGGGGCACTTGGTCGTAGGCGGGAGAACAGAGGTAGCTCCATGCCCTACTTCCATAACCCCTCTTCTTCTTCGCACACTTTGTCTCCTGCCTGGAGTCTCACTCCTCTCAGATCCCAAAGCACAAATCTCTCAAACACCCACCATGATGGGACCTGCAGGCCCTGTCCCTGTCACCTACTCTTTCCTGCCTCTGCTCCCCAGAGTCTCAGCCCAAGCTGAGTCCTCTTGGTCCTCCTGAGCACAACCCAGAGAGAGGCTCAACTGACCTGGGTCAAGGGAAAAGCAACCCCTTGGCCGCTGCCCCTGCCCTCCCCACACAGCGCCACCCACGGGCCCTGTTCCTTCTCCTCTTCACACCTCCCACAGAGCCACCTGTAACCCCAGCCTGTAACACCCAGAGGGACAGGGTGGAGCATTAGGAGTTTGCGGCTGGCAGGGGCCACTCCGTGAGACTGCATCTCAAAGTAGGTATGGCTGGGGATGCAGCTCAGGGGTGGCAGGCATGAGTCCCTGGCTCAGTGGCCAGCACACACACACAAAATCTCTCAAAGCCTTCTTAATTCCCGTAGTATAAAATTCCAAGCTTCATGCAGCCTGTGAGGCACTGAGCTAGCCCCGCTCACCCTCATGCTGCACCGCCCAGCCCCTCGATCTCCTGGCTCCTCTGTCTGCTCCCCTTCTTGCCATCCTCAGGCCCTCTGCACTTGCTGGCTCCTGACCTGGAGCCCTCTTCTCTCTGCCAGCCAGGCCCAGCAGGGCTGACGCCTCACTCACCCAGCTCTCTGTTCAAATGTTACCATCCCCAAAGAACCACCCACAATACGACTGCCCCCAACATTTCATCACAGTCTGGGGCTCTATTTTCCTCCTGTCCCGCAACATGGAAACGGCATACAGGCCACTCGAGTGCAGGGGCGGCAGGTGTACAGCTCACCACCCCACGCCTGGGCTTGGCAGGAGAGCATCAGAAGAGGAACTGAGAGGTCACCCAGCCCCCCATGCCCTCCCGAGGCAGTGCCAAGGTTCCTGGGCAGCTGGGCCCAGGAGATGGGAAGCACGAGCCCCCCACTCCAAAGCTCTGGTTCAGTGAGCTGCAAGCCCAACCTGTTCTTGGCTGTGGGCATCTCTGGGGAGCTCTGAGTGGAAGAGTTCTCCGACTTGGGCTCCTGTGAGACGTGCCCGCTGTCTGGGGTCTTCTGGCCAGCCGGAGGGCTCTCCCTGCGGGGCACACAGGGGCAGCGAGAGGATTCAGCTCGGGGCCTGGCGCTGGGGTAGAATGAGGTGCAGGCAATGAGGGGATGTCACGGACACCTTATACACTCCGGGGTCAGCCCACTGTTGCCCTGGGGCTCCTCAGCCAAGCTGGCCAATGAGCGGGCAGGTGGTAAAGGAGCTACAGCGACCAGGACACCTTCCTGTGACACATGTTAGGACTGGGGTTCGATGGGAAGGGGCCTCCCCAGGGCACCCAGCTAATGCCAAGACTTAAACTCAGAAGGTTGGCATTCTGAGATCTAGTGGCAGTGGGGACAGTGCCAGCTCCTTTCTTGGAGTATTCCTAATGCATAGACCCTGTCACATGAATGGAACCAAATCGTCACAGAAGCCACATGCTCTTTCTCATCCCAGTGCTCCAGACTGGGTTAAGAGAGCTCAGAGGAAGACAGCCACTGGCCCAAGGTCACAGCCCGGAGTCTGGAAGCTACTCTCTACACACGCTCACAGAACTAGCCAGCACTCTCACAGTGGGGAGTGGGCGCAGGGCAGCTGGACGGGCCGGGGCTCAAGCCCCAGCTCTGCTCCTTGTTGGCTGTGTGGCCAGGGCAAAATCCCTGACATTCAGGCCTACAGTGCCAAGGGTGGGCCCCGAGGGAGCTACAAGGACTGCCCTGTCACAGGAAGGGAACAAAAGGTAGAGGTGGGCATTCCCGCTGTCTGCTCGGCGGTGACACTGACAGGGCGCAGGGAAGGGCCTCACCTACCTCTTCTCCTGCACCTCCTGGATGTTCTCGATGCCGATGGCGCTGCTGCGGCGGGAGCCAAACGGGCCTGACTTCTTCCTTGTGGGGCTCTTCCCAGGGACAATCAGGGACTGCAGGGAGAGGCCCCAATTCAGCACCCAGCTGCCCTGGGAGCCCCAGTGCCCCCCACTGCCCTCTGCCCCAAAGCAGCAGTGATGAGCAAGAAAGGGGAGGAGGTGTGCATCTGGGCAGCCCCCCAGCTGGCCGCAGCTTTGGAGAGGGGGGCCCTGTAGAGCTGCCCTGGGTCGGTCTAGGAGAAGGGCAGGGCAGCCACTCCAGGCTGGGAAGGGACGAGGCCAGGTCCTCAGAATGGCCACCACGCCAGCCCCTGGGCTCCGGGGGCCTTGCAGCCTACTGGTGGTGATGAGCATGAGATTGCAGCCCCAGCCCCCACCCTCCGTCCTCACCGTGTGCCACCCCACCCTTCTCAGAACCTCCATACTGTCTGGGGGAGCGGCAGCTGAAAAGTCCCCCCAGCTTCCACATACACCAAGGAGGAGGCCCCAGGCAGGAAGCAGGGCCCGAGGAGGGATGGAGGGGCAGGATTTTCAGGCCAGTTCATGGTGGGGAGAGGTTGGGGCAAAGGGAGGGGCAGTGCTTCATGCAGAAACAGCAATATTGGGGGACGTGCAGCTGGGCAGAGGGTCTCTGGGTTCTGGGTCCTGGCAGTGAGCAGGGAGGGTCAGAGGCCCCTGGCAAGGGCCACTGGCTCTGGCCCAGGTGCCAGGCCCCAAAGCAGGTGCAGAGAGGTGCCAGCACTCTGTCCTGCATTCCCCTGGGCCTGTCCTCGGCAAGGGGCCACGTCCCCAATATGGCCTCCGTCCTGAGAGCGAGCGGAGAACAGCGCGTGCAGCAGCCTCCAGAGCCGGTGGCCCTGCGGACGACAACCTCTTCCACGGTTCCTATGCCTATGGCACTGCCCCGGCGTCCGAATCTACTTGCACTTTTCCCAGGAATAAGCAATGACTGGCAAGCAGCAAAGGGTGGCAGAGGGTGGGGGGAGGGGGAAAGGGGGGAGAGAGAGAGAGAGAGAGAGAGAGAGAGAGAGAGAGAAGAGAAGAGAAGAGAAGAGAAGAGAAGAGAAGAGAAGAGAAGAGAAGAGAAGAGAAGAGAAAAGAGAAGACAGGGCCACATGGATGGGCAGAGAAGGAGAGAAGCATGTGGACAGACAGCAGAGGGGCCGAGGGTGATACGGGATTATATGGAAGCAGGAACACATGAGAGGGGGCACAAAGAGGGACAGGTAGGGACAGAAATGGGTCCAGAGAGTGAGGGTTACAGATAGAGATGGAGAGAAGGGAAAGCCAGGGCAAGAAGAGTGGAAAAGGGGATGGTACAGATCGGTGGGAAGCAGAAAGAAAGAAAAGGTACAAGAAGGCAGAGAGGTCAGGAGGGAGGGAAGGGAGGGAAGGAAAAGCAAGAATGGAAGAGGCGACATGAAGAGAGGGAGAGTTGTGCAAAAACAAAAACAGAAATGGGTCTGGTTACTGCCATGGTGGGTGCTGCTGGCCTGGCCCTGTCCCTGGGACCCCTCTGTGGCAAGGAGGAAGGGAACACCTGTGGGCAGGTCGGGCCAGCTCCTCAGATGACAGTGGACTTGGTGACTGCTGGACAGCAGAGGCCTCGCCTTGCTTCCCTAGCCAGACCAGACCATGGGGCAGGTGGAGGGTGGGGGTGCAGGTGCCTCCCGCCACATGACACAGCTTCATAGCACTAAGCACGGCTTGGCATGCAGTAGACAGTCAATAAGAGAAGGAGGGAGGAAGGGAGGAGAGATGCTAGGGTGGGTAGATGGATGGGAGGACACATGGATAGATGGGTGAACAGATGAATGGCTAGGTGGCTGCATACGTGGGTGGGTTGGTGGATGGGTGGGTGTGTGGATGGATGGGGGATGGGGGTGGGTGGATGGATGGGGGATGGGGGGTGGGTGGGGAGATGGGGGATGGATGGATGAACTGATAGATCGGTGGATGGACTGGCACGTGGATGCGTAGATGAATGGGTAGGTGGCTGGGTAAGTTGGTAGATGAATGGATGGATGGATGATGGATGGATGGATGGATGGATGGACGGACGGACGGACGGACGGACGGACGGACGGATGGATGGATGGATGGATGGATGGACAGATGAGTGGAGAAATAGATGGGTGGGTAGGTAAATGGTGCATGGGTGGATGGATAGATGGTGGGGGCTGACTGGCTGAATGGGGAGCACAGCAGTAGATACAATATCCAGGGTGGCCACAAGGTGGCGCAAAGCAGCCAGCCCATGATGCAGGCCTGTTTCTCCTGCACACCTAGCAAGCCTGCTGTGGGAGGGGTAGACGCCCGCAGGACCTGGTGGACAGTTAGTGGTCACACAAGAAGGGCTCGCTCAGGAGATGCCCACACAGAAGCCTGGTTCCTGGCGCATGATAGCAGCCACAGGCACAAAGGCTCTGGCTGCTGCAGACATACAGTAGGAGGTGCCACAGAGGAAACGCCCACACAGCAGTGCACTTCCTGACACACAGTAGGTGTTCACTGATATCCAGGGCTTAGCACGAATCATTTATTCACACAGCAGCCCAGGTCCTGACACACAGGACATGCTCACACAGCAGCCCAGGCCTGAGCACATAGTTGGTGCTTACAGAGTTGATGCCCACACAACAATGCATTTCCTGACACAGTAGGTACTCAGGCACATGTTAGGTGCTCACAGGAACTCAGGGCCAGGCACACAGTAGGTGCTTACAAAATGCATAAGCACACAGCAGCCCAGGTCCTGACACAACGGGTGCCCACAGCCTGACACACAGTAGGTGTCCCCAGAAACCCAAGACTTGACAGTAGATACCACACAGCAGCCAAGTTCTCAGCACACAACAGACGGTAGGTACTCATTGGGAATGGGACACAGAGGCTGCCCCTGAGCTGACCCCCAGAGAGTGACACCTGACTGAGGAAAGGGCCAGGAAGAGGAGAGGACCGAGGAACTGGGGAGGGCTCTCAGCACCCCATGTCCTGGCAGGGCTCCTAACCCTCCATGGAGAGTAGCAGCTGAGCCGAGCCCAGAGCCCAGGGAGGGTGTGTGGACCACAGGACAATGGGGAGTGGTGGGGCTGGTCCTCAGGTGACAGGGACACTGTGGACTCCGGGAGGGGCAGGTCAGAGGAGGGGACACTCACTATTCCAGCTGCCTTGGCCAGGTCAGGGTTGTTGGGAGTGAAGCTCCCGCTGTGGCTGGTGGACACAGTGTTAGGCTTCTTGTTGCTTAGCCCCATGGCATCCATGGACTGGCTGCGACTCCGGATGACCCGCTGGGAGGGTGACATGGGGATAGAGGGGGCATGGATTTCGCAAGCCCCACCTTGGGAAGCTCCAGGAGCCCAGGCAACAGGCCCCTCCCCACCAACTTCACTCTGGGTGACCCCAGGCAGACCCATCCACTCAAGAGGTCTGTTTCCCCCTGTACCACACAAAAGGAAGACACACAGTGCTAAGGGCAGTGTGGGCCGTGGCTCTGCCCCCACTTGCCAGCTGGCCTGGTGTCAGCCACTTGGCCTCCCTGAGCCTCTGAGCCACCCAGACTGCCATGCGCGGCACTTCCTCAAGCAGCTGTTTTAAGGGGTGCAGAAGCCCCCAAGTCACAACCACATGTGTACTCAGAGATCCCTGAGAAACCTGTTGCTTTTTTAGGGTGTCTATACTCCCTTTCCTTCTTTTCTTTCCCCTTCCCCTCCCTTTTTTTCTGTCCTTCCTTCTTTCCTTCCTTTTTTTTTCCTTTTCCACCTCTTCCCCACTTCCTTCACCTCTTCAGACTAATCTACACATTTTGGGCGTTTCTTGTGGAGCAAGGTATTTCACATCCACTCTGTCATTCAACCCACCATGCAAGGCAGGGGCTGTCATCATACCCATTTTACAACAGATGAAACTGAGGCACAGGTGAGTTTAGAACCCATATGCTAAATCCTAGGTCCTGAAGTGTGGACTCTGCTACCCCAGAAAGGCTTCAGTCTAACCTGGGTCCCCTCTGTACCACCTACTAGATGTGACACTACAAGAGTGACCACCAAAGAACACACTTGCCCTGTGTCTACCTCCCACCCCCACCCCTGGTCTGCAAAGGGTAGGGGCAGGGCTCCCTCTGTACAGCTTGGTTGACCCCTTTGTGCAGAACCACAGCTTCTGCCTCCAGGCTGCCTGGGGAGAGGCTGAGACTCAAGTGGCCTGGCTGGGTATCTGAGTCCTCCTCCTGCAGGTGGACGGGGCAGGAGCATGGAGGCCACAACCTGGGGCTGTAGCCTGGGTGAGTGCAGGCCCAGCCAGGGATGAGGTGTTCCCATCTCCACCCACCTCTCATTTTGGGCAACTGTTGCTAAGGAGGAGCCAGGGTTTTGCATTTTGCTTTTTAACTTATGTTTCACTAATCTAATTGCTTTACAAATAGCTCAACAATTAGATGAGATAAGTGGTCATTACCCCATTACCCTACTCAACAGATAAAGGAACCAGGCTCAGAGCATGCCTAAACTGCTGGGTGTGGGAGCTGGGATCCCAACCAGAGAGCCAGCGCCCTCAGCAAAAGCTAGGCCAAAGATACACAGGGGAGGTCACACAGGCCAGGTCATTCTCCAAAGGACATTTGGCCCTCCCGGTCCTCTTTTTCTTTCCTTCACTCAAGGCAGAGTTCTCCTCACTTCTCTGCCAGCTCTTCTGCCAGCCACAGCCCAAGACGACACCAGCAGCACCTTGCTGACACCTGAACTCCAACCTTAGGAATTTCCCGGTGGACTCGACCCCAAGTTTTGGCCCCACCTCCATCACTGGCTCCTAATCAATCAGAGCCTCCCTTAATCTCCAGACTCAAAACTACCTCTCACAGGCCACACTCCTAAATCTAAGCTTGAACCTCTACCACACCTCCTGGAGGGAAACCCTGAGTACAACCCCCCAACCCTTGGGCCACGCCCACTCGACTCCACCCCAACCAGCTTACTTCTGGCCACGCCCACATCTTGTCCAGCGTCCACCTCGAGCTTCACCTACGGCCCTTTCCCCACCAGAACTCCACCCCCACAGAATTTGCCTCTGGACAAGCCCACACCCTGTGGATTAGCCCAGCCTTCCGCTCCACTAGGCCCTTGTCCCTGGGCCCCATCTCTGCGCCCCTTCCCTTGCCCAGGAGATCCCCCGGGAACACTTTACCTTGAAGGACTCAAAGAAACCGCCTCCACCTCCTCCGTTTTCCATCTTGTCCTCATCACCGCCCAGGCCCATCATGGACTGACTGTGAATGTGGAGTTCCTCATACAGCGTCTCCAGGAGGGCAGCGCGGGTCCGCTCCTGTGAGCCGGCCATCGGGAGAGAGCCCCAAAATCAACCCTCGTCCCTCAGTCTGCATCCTGGTATCCCACCCCCCTCCCAAGGTGAGGGCCACTTCCTCCCAGTCAGTTGGAAGAGGAAGAGCCCGGCCCTGGCTTCACTCAGGCTGCTCTCCACAGGCCCAGAAACCCTCAGGGCTCCTCAGCAAGATCTGGCTCCCGGCCCCAGGCCCCAGCTCCCTCCAACACACCATCAGCCTGCCTACCTCCCAGGCCTCGGCCTCTGTCCTGCTTTTTCTCCCTAGAGGGAAGTGGGGCTTCCATCCAAGATCTACACACACACACACACACACACACACACACACAGCCCCTCAAGGCTAAAGTCTGACCTGCCCTTGCTTTGCAGGGTGGGGGCAGGAAGGAAATTCTAAACAAGAAGGGGGAAATCAGCCCCAACAGCCCATCCTCACCTCCAGCTTGGCAAACTTCTCTGCTTTGTAGCAAGCATATTCAGCATTGATCAGCTTTGTCAGCAAAAATTCCTGGAACTCAGGCCCCTGGGAGTCCCCCAGGTGGAGAGGAGAAAGGGAGTCAGCAACAGAGAGGCAAGGGCCTGAGCCCAGATGGGTCAGGACCGAGCTCCTGAGCTGTGCCCTCCCGGGGCCTGGGAGTCCCCTGAGCCTCCTAGAGGTCATCTCTGGAGCTCAGATCGCAGCCCTTGCACCTGTGAGGGACACTGTGACCTTTCAAGGCTGCACACCCTTCAGAGGAGCAAACGCCACACGTTAGGATCAAGGTACTCTCCTACTGCTTTGTTCTGGGGGAGCAGAGCACACTAAGCTGGGTGGTTTCTAAGGGGTGACAGAGACAGAAGCCCTCCTCTCCCCAAACAGTTTAAAGGAGATGGTCAAAAACTAGGGCAGAATTAAGGAAAGGCCACTGTCTGTTATGAGAAACATAGTTTATTATTCTGTGGCCTTATTTAAAAAACAAACAAACTGGGGAAGCTGAGGCAGGAGGACTGCCATGAGTCCAAGAACCTGGGTTATACACGTGAGTTCAAGGCCTGACTGGACTGTACAGCGAGAATTTGTCTCCAAAACCAAGTTTTGGTCAAAATGAAGAGAAAAGCCAGGCCACAGCTGCACAGGGCTCCAGGGCCTCAGGAGACAGAATCTGTGCCCTGCCCCAGTCCCCTACCATTCAGTCAAGCGCTGTCCATGCCAGGGATAGGGGCCACCTCTCACCTTCCTGAACACAGCAGGGTCTGGCAGAGGGGGCCCAAAGAAGGGCACGTCATCTCTCGCGGTGACCGAGACCTGGAAGGGAGAACAGCTGTCCCTGTGGAGCCAAGGGCCTGCTCCTTCCCACAGCTGCCAGGAAGCCCTAATTTGCCTCTAGTCCTGCCACTGTGTCATCAAGGCTCTGATTGTTGGGTGGGTACATCCTTGTCCCCAGAAATTTAGCTCCTCCTCCTCTGCCCTGTATTCGAAAGATGGGGTCAGGTGGTGGGGGCCTCAGGGTCACAGGGGACTGTGAGGGCAGAGGAGGTGAAACAACACGACGAAAGGAGACACCAGAGGGGAAAGGGGAGGCTGCAACCATCTTCTTTGAGTCATACACTCTGGGAAGCTAGAGTATTCCCATTCCTCTACAAAAGTGGGAAGAACTGAGGCTCACAGAGGCCTGCCAGCGAGGCAGCGCTAGGCCTGGGGCCTCGCAGGCCCCTGCAAGGCTCTCTGAGCTCACCCACCTTGTAGAAGGGCCCATCAGGGCCACCCCCCTCGGCCTGCACCACCACATAGGCATGCAGGAAGTTGGATGCGATCATGTCGGGCACGAAGGGCGTGTTCTCATCCTGGAAGACCACTGCCACGATGTCGTTTCCGATGTGCCTCTTCCGCTGCAACTGAGCACAGGGCCACCACAGGCCTTCACAGCCTGGCCGGTGGTGAGAAAGCAACAACCCGAGGATGAGAGGGCTTGGGGATGGGGCAGAGCACACCTCTAGGGATTTGTAAACCACCACCACCACCCCCCAGTGTGGTAAGAACGTTTTTTCATTTTCTTGCTAACTGCAACAGAAGAGAAAGTCAAAGCCAGCAGAGAAGTGACCGCCTACAGTGAACTCTGGTACTTGAACCCAGGTCTCCCAGTTTCGAGGCCCTACACTTTAGCACTTGACCTATCCAGACTCTCCCAATCATGGCCCTTCATCGACCAGACAAGCTCGACCCTCTACGAACTCCTGTTGCTACAAAGAACAGAGAATCTTATGAAAAGAACAGAAAAAGCCACTAAACCTAAGGAACGAGTCCTTCTACTTTTCTCCCGTTAGCAGCAGGGTGAGCAGACAGCCCGAGGGAAGCCCGGGACGAGGGCACCCAGTGCTTCAGTTCAACTCCTGGTGCACCTCGCGACGCAAGGCCCGTGCGGAGCTGCTCTCTGTGCCTCCTCCTTCCAGCTCCTTCACAGCCTAAGCCACCTGATCTCCAACACTTGTTGACTCCTACGCCTGCCAAGTCTTGGTGCCCCCACAGGACCCTATAAGGCCCCTTGCTCCCCACAAAAGTACTAGCTCAGCTTTACCAGGCTCTTGCTGTCTCCCAGGTCTGATTCTAGTCACTTACTGTGTCCCCTCCCTTATGCTCACCCACTAGGGAAGCGCCACTGCTATCCCCATTTCGCAGATGTGGAAGTGGGGGCTGTCCTGGCACTGAAGCAGCCTCTCTTACCTGCCCCCTACCTGGGGGAGGGGGTCATTTCCGTGCCTGCGTTCCAGGGCCTGGCACGATGGACACTAGATGGACAAGTGGGGCATAAGGGGACAGTGGGAAGCAGGTAGATGGGTGCCCAGGCTACCTGCTGGGCGTCCCCTTCAGTGTAGGGCAGCTTGGTGGACACATGAAACATGATCTCCTTGTTGCGGAAGTTGCAGTACACGGACTCGGTCCCCGTCTGCCCGTGGGTCACGTCCAGGCCACCTCGGAACCTGCCCCAGGGCCCCCAGGCCACAGCTCAGTTTCCAGCCCCAGCCAGGCCTCTGTGCAGCCAAGATGGGGCTCCCCCAACCAAGGGCCACGGGTCAGACTAGCTCGGCTCTCCCACCTGAAGACTCACCCCTTGAAGTCCTGCAGTTTGACCTTCTGGCCTAGAAATTCAAGGAACTCCACAAAGGCAGGGCTCTCCTCATTGGTGCTGAAGAGCTCTTCCTCGGAGGTCTGGGGACCACACAGGGGTGCTGTCATGGTCACAGTCATGGAGCTGCAGCTCCTGAGCACCCCTACCACGCCCTCAATAGCCAAGTCTGGGGGACAGCAGCAGAAAGGAGGATGGGCTGTGCTGGATGCTAGGAGCAGCAGGGGCTGTTGCTCAGGTGTCCCCAGGGAGGGCCCAGGGCTTCCGGGAGACTGAGAGCTCTGGCAGCACTCTGCCCTGTGAAGTCTACAGTACCGGGGCGAGGTGGGGCGGAGGCAGGATAGGGAGGAGCACACCTGCCCAAGCTTCTGATAAATGACTCCGAACTTGAAGTTATTGCTGATAACATGTTCATCAAAGGTGACGATGAGCCGGGAAGCCTGTGGGACAGCATGGGGTACAGGGACGCTGCATGCACACTGCTGTCCACTGAGCTCTCCCCACATGCCCAGTGCTGCATGGATTGTTCTTAAGCAAGCCCAGTGGGGAGGGGGAGACACTCCACTGGCCCCTCTGCATCTTGGTTGTAGAAAGCTTCAGCAACCTGAAGCTGTAGAGAGCTCTACAACCAAGGTCACCAGCCTGCAAGTGTCTGCTGGGTGGGGACACATCCCAGACCTGTTGGGCTCCTGACTGGCCTGGAGCCCCTGGCCTGCGATGGCCGAAGCCGCCTCCACTGCAGTCTAGCACCCAGCTCCCTAAGGCACACCCATTCCATTGCACATCAGTCAAGTCCCACCAATTTGCTGAGGAACCTTTAAGAGGCCTCTAGGAACCTCCCTCCTGGGCCCCCAGGGATTCGGGTTTCCCTCTGTAATCAAGAGGTGGATCCTGACTTCACTCTACTCCAGATTTCAGTCAGGGCCCACAAAGGCTACTACACCATTCAGGGACCACCTCTTCCAGGAAGGGCCCCTGGCTGGTTGAAGAGAGAAGCCCCTGCCTCTACTCCCACACTGCCACGGTGTCTGGAGCCAGCAGGTAGTACCAGGGCTGGAGGGGGAGCATTTACGGAGGTGTGCATGGTATGCTTTTTCCTCAGGTCCCTTCTGAGGACAGAAGACAAGACCAGTGGAAAGAGACGTGACCCAGGGAAGGTCCGTGACCCAGGGAAGGTCCAGAGCACAGGTTGCCTTGGGAGGATCCCCAGGCAGTACTGAGTTTCCAGGCCTGAGGGGGCCTGCCTACAAGAAAGGCACCCCTGGGTAGAAATGCAGTTCTCCTTATCTGCTGCACACCTTTAGGACCTCTCTGTGCTTCCTCTTCTGAGGACTGTGGACTTGGCAGGGGTATTGTGAGGGTCAAAGAGAGACCAAGGGGAAATACCTGGCACACAGCAGGTACCCAGTACATACCCAACGCACCCTCAGCAAGGAGACCCCAGAGCCATACCTTGGGGTAGAGCACAGGGTAGAATCGATCCACATTGACATCTTCACACACCAGCTGCAAGAGAAGACCATGGAAGTCATGGGGGGTCGGGAAAGGAGATGAGAGGGGACTCTGGCCTCAATGGCCAGGTCCAGGGATAGCAGTAGAAAGGAGGCCAGGCTAAGCTGGGGACACCAGAGGCTGCTGCTCAGCATACAGTTCAGAGAACTGAGGTCCCCTGGGGCCCGAGGTGCTACAGTGTCAAAGGACACAAGAAGGGACAGGTGCCCGCGGCATGTGCACACAGTCGGAAACAGTGGCAGGTAGGGCTGCAGAGACTGGCTGCACTGCATAGGGCGCAGGCTTGCAGCTGCAGCTGAGTGTGTGCTGGGGGCAACCTACAGCCTACAGCCCCTGGGGCTCCCAGCACCCAAAGTGGGGGGCGCTGATGCCTCACCTTTGCCATCTGGACCACATTGGGGAATTCTGTGAGGCAGGAGATAGGGATGACATCGTGGTACGTCCGGCACTTAGTCCTGTAAGCAGAACACCACATGGTGAGGGGCTGGGCAGTGGGAGAGGGAAAAGAGGCCCTGCAACAAAAAGACCAGAGGAGGCAGCCCACAGGGAGGACCAAAGGTGACAATGGGCACCAGGGCTAGCAGAGCCACACACTTGCTGTGTGACCTTGGGCGAATCCCGACTCCTCTCCAGGTCTCAATATGGAGAAGGGTAATAGAGGTGGGCATTCAGCATTTAGACCTCAGCACCCCTTGCTGTCCTGGAGTCCCTGTGACACAGCCCTCACCTGAGCAGCAGCCGCAGGTGCTCTTGGTCCCCGATGACGTCATACTTGAGGGAGAAGACCAGGTGGCCGAGGGCAGTGTCCAGTGAGTAGTAATTGAAATGTTCCTGTGTGGTGTGGCGGGAGAAGGGTGAGGCTGAGCTTGGGGTTTCCAGAAACCAGAAAGCCGGCTCACCCCAAGATTAGGGCCTTTGCCAAGCGGCAGGTGTCCAGGCTCTGCATCAAGTAGATCTACCGCTTCCCAGCAGAGCAGCTTGCAAAGGGCACCTTACCTCTGTGTGCCTCACTTTCCCAGTATGTGAAATGGGAGTGAAGACACGTACCTTGAGGTGGCAGAGACTGAAAAAAGTCAAGTGCCTGGTACCAACGCAGTGTTCAGTAATTGTCTCCAGTAACTTTGCTCTCTCCTGCTCAGCAGTCAGGGCCACACACATACCTACAGAGCTGTCTCCTGGCCTCTCCCCCACAGATGTGACACACACAGTGGGTGCTCAGTAAGAAAAGGCCAGCTAGCGTGTGTGAGGTTCTGGGGTTTAAGCCCCAATACATAGAAGAGAAACAGGCACGAAGATGGACGGACGGACAGACAGTGAGCCAACCAGCTGATTGCCCAGGCTGTGACTTTGTGGCCCCTGAAGCCAGGGCTTGTGAGAAACAGGAAGTGAAGCATCTAGTAGCACATAGGGCACTGACCAGGCAGGTTCCCGCTCTCCTGCTTCACCTAGAGAAGAGGGCAAGGACTGCGAAGAGGCACTCTACAAGCCTACGGGGTGGCTGTGGCAAGGACAGCACCCACAGATGGAAGCCCAGGCCTGGCACCTCCAGCTAGGGTCGTCCGGAGGCCAAGGACTACAATGGAAGGAGACACTAGCCCAGCCTGACCCTGGGCTCCCTCTGTGGCCCAGCCCTGGAGGTGGAGCTGGCTCTTCAGCCACGCCCATCCCGGGAATCACCCTGGAAGCAAATCCTGTTTAAACATGAACACCTGTGCTCAGAGACTGCAGCCAGAAGGGGGGGGAGGGGCCAGAGGGTGTGCCCACAAATCAAGAGCTAAGAGGCACTCTGACTAGACCTGGGGCAGAGAGGTCCTCAGGCCTGCCTGGGCACACAGTGGCAGAAACCCCCAAATGGTTGGCACTGCTTACGGAGGAGTACAAAGAATTTTGCAAGAAGTCCAAGGACCAGGGAGTTTTCCTGACCCTTCCCCCCAAATCCAGATGATCCCAAAGGACCCAATGGGACCTGGGCTTGGAATCCTAGAATATCAATCTCCAAAGCCACTTTCTAACAGAGCCCAAAAGCCACCCCCTCCCGGCACCCCACCTGGAGCCAGGAAATGGCCCTGCTGTCTGCCAGCTGCTGGAACTCCCTTTCCTCGGTCTGCTAACCTAGCCCTGGTTATCATGTCTCCTCTCAAATTCTGCCATGCTCAAGGCCTGCGACCTTCATCGGTCACTCATCGCTCCTGTAGCAAACTTTCCTGTGTGCCAACTATGTGCTGGGCACACGTGGTCCCTGGGAGCCCACCACCTGCCAGGCCACAGTGAGCCTCTGGACAGGGGGTGTCTGGGACACCCAAAGGGCTCAGCTAGGACACAGAACCTCAGGTCGCTTGTGCTTATCCCCAGGCAATGACTCCTGAACCTGCATAGGCTAGTGTGTATAGTGGGAGCATGGGTTAGTCCCCACCACAGTGGATCCCCCACCCCAACAGTTAGCCTTAGTATCTCCCAGGGTCAGGCTGCAGACTCATACACACAGCCCAATCCTCCCAACAGCATGTTTTCAGGTTTTGGTTTTTTTTCTTTAGACAGGGTCTTGCTGTGGAGCCCAGACTGGCCTCAAACTCAAGGTGATCTTCCTGCCTCAGCCTCCTGCATACTGGGCATACAGGTGTGTGCCACCACGCCCAGCTCCCACAGTACATTTGAGCGGAAGGTCAGCCAGAGCTGGTTCAAGACCAGGCTCAGTAAAGGTGACCTTGCCTGACTCACTTCATTTCCCTGCACTTCAGCTTCCTCTTCTGGGAATGCAGGGTGATCTCGCTCTCACAGAGGGATTAGGCGGATGGAACAACAGCTGTGGCTGACCGTGTTTAGCAGACACAGTTTTGCATGCTTTATGAGTGCTTTCAGTGCCCCCAGTTTGACAGATGAGGAAGCAGGCTCAATGATAAATAACTTGCCCAGCACACCACTGTCACTAGAAGGGAGAGCCTAGATTCATACCCAGGCCACAAGGCCCCCCCCAACCCATGGTATGCTCCCCTACTTTGGTTGTCAACGACACGGACAGCACCTGGCATGCAACTTCCCCTCCAGCACCCATAGCCTCCCCTACTAATTCTTGAGAATACCCTTGGGTGTTGATCCTTCAAGCTCTTACTAGGCAGGGTCTGCTGCAGGGCTGAGGTTACATCAGCCCCGGTCAAGATGTCACATGCCTGTGTCCTCCCAGCCCCCACCCCAAGCTGCCCAACATCCAGCCTGGGTCCATTTTGTTGACTGCTGTGTATACCAGCTACCTAGGAAAAGGCAGCTGAAGACAATGGGAGCCCACTATTTGCTCACCCTGATAAGCAACGACCCTGCTGGAGATGCCATTCCAAATCTTACAAGCATGGTCTCATTAAAGCACTGCAGCAACCTCAGAATGGGTGTCGCTACTGATGTTTCTTCAGAAGTGGAAACTGAGGCACACCAAAGTTAAGCAACGTGTCTGATGTCCCACGTGGGGAGTGTCTAAACCAGGACTCAAATTGGTAGTAGCCTCTGCAGTTGGCCGCCATGGTGTCCTATTGCCTTTGCAATAAATGTTTGTCAAATGAATGAATGAATGAATCCATACGCATGGTCCCTGGAGTTCTGGGATTGCCACTCAGCCCCGCCCAAGAGTTCTGTGGTCTCCCAGGAGGCTGTGTGGTGACCCACCACTCCCTGCAGCCAGCCACCCACCTTGCCAAGAAAGTGCTTCCGGTAGATGCGGGCTGTGGGGTTGCACTCCAGCTTCACCTTGGTTGTGGGCGACTGCAGTGGCTCCATCTCAGGAATGCTGGTGAGTTCGTGGTTGGTGCCTTCAATCCAGTAGCCCCCAAACTGGGGCAGCAGGATGAGCGGGAAGGGCCCTTCTCGCCCTAAGACCTGAAGTGGGGCTTGGCTGAAGGTACTCTGTACAGCAGTACCCCATTAGGGACCCCAGGACATCTTCCAATTCTGATTGGGGATACTTCTGTGGTGGCATTAGGGGTAACACAGGACAACCCAGCACTGTGTTATCCCCAAGGTTCAGTTACCTTCCTGGAGCAAGGGGGTAACTGCTACAGCCCTTCCCCCCTCAGACCCAGCCATGCTATCCCTTGCCCCGGCATTAATCGATGGGGGCAGCCTCCTGGAGAGCTGGGAGCACTGGCCTTCCCAGGAGGCTGACATTTGGATCAGAAAGCCTAAGGGCTCCAGCAGACTCTGAAGTCTAGGCCTGAAAATGAAGCCTCTAGCCCCCAAGGCAAAGCTTGCAGTCAGGCTGCTGGGAGGGAGGATGAGCCAGGTGTCCAGATGGCCTGCATGAGGACCTCCCCAGGATGGAGGCAAGGGTGGGCTCCAAATCCAGCTGGGTACCTCGTGAACGCTTGGGTAGGGAATGTAGTCTTCTTCCGTCTGCAAAATACAAGTAGGCAGAGGCTCAGCTGGGGGGGGCCCTGACCCTCCACACCTACCAGGTTCCCCAACACACACTGTTCCGCCTACACTTGGGGCTGGGAGTGTGCACAGGGCCATGGCCTCAGCCTTCAACTTCAGCATACAGCAGAGGATCGGCCCAGGGTGCCCCCTACAAGGCTGGGCAGAAGCAGGCTAAGCTTGCCATCCTGACATCTTTGGAGTGCTCTCTGCCTAGAGAAAGGAGACTCCCTGCTGCCCCTCTGAACCATGTAGGGACTTGTGAGAGGCTGCTCTCACCCACAGTTTCCCTTGCAGGGGTCTAGTGCCCCCCTCAACTGCCAACTTCTAAGACCCGGTAGCACCAACACTATCTGAGGACCACTCTGAGAACACCAGCCTGGACTTGGCAGGAAACCTCTTTCAACCTGGGTCCATTGCCCCAGGGCTAGCTGCTAGTGTGTGGGGTCCTGAATTACCAGGAAGCATGTACCCATCTGGGGGAGTGGCTGGTGGAATATCCTCTGCCCTAGACAGGAGGAGGGGGTAGGAGCCAAGGTCCCAGTGGGCGCATTCCTGCTGAGAGCACAGGTCCCCAGGGAAAATGGCTAAGGAACAAGCCCTAGAGCAAGGGGCAAGTATAGTGGTACAGGCCAGGAGAAGCTGCCCTGAGGCCCGGGTATGGCAGGAAGACTCCCTATATCTCAGAGCTCCTGGAGCAGGGACCTGGGTGCCCTGCTCACACAGGCTGGCAGCTGGCACACAGGAGGACTCCTTCAGAAGCGGCAGCTGTGGCACTTCCCAGACCCCGCCCCCCAGCGTGCAGTCTGCTCCAGCAGCTAGGCCTGGCCCACCTACTTTGAGGGGTGGTGGGAAGGAGCATCGCTGTTCATCCATCCTGCTTCCCTGCAAGAGAAAGCAGCACCCCTTACACCCGCCCAGGCCTGCTGCCAGGCGTCCTCCCTGACAGCCTTGCATCCCGCTGTGCAGAAGGGAAAACCCAAGAGGGACCTCCCCCCACCAACGTGGGGGTGCTCCTCAGACAGGCCAGCCCATGGCTCGTTCCTCAGGCCTCTCTGGAGGGCCACAGTCCTGGCCCTCAGCAGCAGAGGTCAGCTAGGGGCTGTGTACAGGACACACATGCTGCGGGGAGTGGGGGCAGGGGTGGTGTGCAGGCCTGGTTGTGCAAGGCATGTGGGAGGGGGTGACTACATCAATGCAGATATGCGAAGGGGGGATGGGGGATGAGAGGCTGAGAGAGAAAGGAAGGGGGCATCAAGAGCAAGCGCTTGGCAGGGTGAGCTGACATCAGCGAAAGATCCCTGCCCTGGTACACGCCCTGCCCACCTCCTGTGCACCCACATACCCTGTGAGAGCAGGGCTGGGGTGGAGAGGGGGCCAGAGGGAGGCGTGGGGCAGGGCTATGCCCTGGGCTGCCTGGCTCATGAACACCTCCCCCACCCGCAGCACAGGCTCTAGATGCCTGGCATCTCTCCCACCTCCACTCGGCAAGAGGGTCCTGCGGTGCCTGCAATGTATCTCTCTGGGTAGGAAGGGTGTGTGGGTATGGGGGTGAGTTGAGCTGACTGCGGCTCTGTGAGGACCTACACAGGGATGGGAACTGGAGCGTGGATGGGTCTCCAGGTCAGATAGAGGCAGGGCGCTACCAGCCTCCTCCAGACAGAGGACTCTGAACTGCCAGCTGCCACTCTCTGGTCCTGGCATGGTCTATTGAAGGCTCCCAGCCTGTTCTCAGAGAGGGCTGGGAAAATTGAGAGGGCCCCGCCACTGCCAGCCCAGCAAAGTCTGTGGCTCCCCCAAACAGGCTTTTATAACTTCCTCACCTGCATCTTTTCAATCATCGCAAACAGATCAGTGTTCTGCAACAGAGGAGTGAAGATCATGATCAGTCCTGAAGTGGCCTGACCGACCATGCCCAGCTGGAGGGGTCCCCGCCCTGGTCAGCCACCAAGGTACCAGGGAGTGGAAGGAGTGGAGGGTGTGGTTCTGGGCAACAAAGCCCACATGCTGACCAGCTGTCCAGTGAGGTGAGCCTACAGCACAGGTCTTGGGGCCCTGGTAGCCTACCCCTCCTCTAAGGGAAGAGGCTGCTGCCCTGGGCAGAGCCAGATCTGCCCCAGGCACTGCAGGGTCCACTCAGTACACAGACCAGAGCCCCTGGTCCCAGCTCTAGAGATAAGCCCAGCCAGAAAGAGAGGAGAATCTGTGGTTCCACCCAACTCTCCTGGAAGCCAGCCAGCCAGCCAGAGGCCTTTGCTCAGGCAACCTACCCTTCCCCCAGGCAGTGTAGGGGGGGACTAAGAGGGGATCTTTGGGCGAGAAGATACCCACTGGGCCTCCACAAGTTCGGGAGCTCACACACAGCATTTCATACTAAAGCTGGCCCTCCCAAGGCTAACCAGGGTGTGCACAGGGTTAATCCAGCGTCTGCCAGCTGCCTGGCAGCATGGGCCTCCCCAGCGCCAACTTTCTATAAGCCTGCCTGAAAGGCGGCATCCCTGCCGGCTGGTGACTGGCAGGGGCTAGGGGCTGGGCCTGGGAAGCCCCCAGAGCCTCCAGGATGGTGCCCCTCCCCCAGTCCTTCCAAGGCTGAACTCAAGCAGTTCCTGCTGCCTCGTGGGAACATTACCTGAGCTCACAGACATGTGCTAGGAGGTTGTGCACACTAGGAAACACACACATACACACAAAAATTCATGGACTCTGTGCATTGTGATTCTCAGAGCCACATACTAACACACCAATATAAATGTTGGCACCCTCAGTTATACAACAGCACACCTACTCACACACAGGTCCACGTACCACAAAAGACACATAAACACAAACCCACACCTACACCTATGTTGAAGATCTGCACACAATGTTACGTAAACACTACAAAACCACTCTTCTGTCTGAAACACACTGCCACACACACTCCCAAAGACAGGCAGGTGTTCAGGAACACAAACACAAACACCTCCCTCCCCCAGCCACAAACCCCCTTTCCCCAGTAGGGCCACACATACACCCTTAACAGCTACAACAAACATCTCAATGTGACAAATTTTAAGAAAAGACCAATGTAGGAGATGTCAATCCTCACAAGCCAATACCTCTGCCTGAGTGCAATCTCCCGCCACCACACATACACACAGCCCTGGTGAAGGTCACCAGGCACAAATGCCACCTCATGTGCACACTGAGGCCTGTCCACAGAGTAAGACCCACCCTGGAAGGTCCACCGTGGTCACCTCTTGCCTCACCCAGCACCTGCGAGTTTGGAAGAGACAAGACCACTGACCGACAGCTACAGGAGACATCACAGACACACACCTGCAGTCCAGGGAGACAAACACACGTGTCAAACCGGCACTGTGACAGCACTGGCATTTGTTGGGATCAGGACATGGCCTCCAACCTGCCCCTTCCATGAGATACAGCAGCGTGGGCACCCCACTCAGGTGACCAAACAGCCTGGAACAAAACCACGCCTTGCTGCACCAGGAATCACAGCCACATAAACATTGACACATGCTACTGTCACCCAGCATGTACACACAGCAACAAGTAACACCCACAGTACAGCCTCACAGACAGCAACAGACGCCCGGGCACATGGTGAAAAGAGGCTGGGAGTGATGTGGCCCAGATAGGCGGGATCCCCACCTTGGGCAGCACCACCCCAAAGTTATAGTCTGATATTCAGGGCCCAGACAAGACATGGAAGGGGGAAAGTGGTCCTACCTTCACACACACACACACACACACACACACACACACACACACACAGTGCCACTGCAGGAAACCGCAGGCTGCCCCTCAGTTCCCTGGACAGCTGCAGCAGGAGCCCAAGTCCTGACCCTGGGTGAGGGTTGCACCCTGCCTTGAGCCGCCACCCGGTGTCAGCCCAAAGGCCAACACACCCGCCCTGGCTCAGGCTCCGCCTGCTGCGGTCTTCGAAGTTGAAGTCGGGCTGCCCGGCCCGGAGTCCCCTGGGCCAGGCCGCCTCGGACCAGTCCTCACCTGCCAACCACCCCCCGCGGGCAGCGAGCCCCTCCGCGGGCGGCCGGGGGGCGCTGGGGGCCGCGGCTGCGCCATCCCGAGCCCGGCCTGGCCCCAGCGG